TCTTACTGTGCTTTCATTTTTTTGTTACTTTTTATAAAAGCATACGCACTGATGTATTTTTGAACACTCTTTATATAGATGCAAAAGTTAAGAAGATTTACGTCAGAAGAAAAAATACCATGCTGTGACGTATGTATAGTCCAAATGAAAATAGTATAAATAAATAAATAAATAAATAAATAAATAAATAAATAAATAAATACACCTATTCCCTGTATCTCGTTTTGGAAACCTCAATCTCTCTCCCTTTTAAATTATACAGCACATTATTTATAGGATTGCCCTACTCTATTTTTGTTGTACCTAAAAATCTGCAGGCACTCCACTACCCTTCGCTTTCGTCATGTTCTTTCCATGTTCTTCACTGTTTTCTGACTTCATATTCTCCTTTTCACCATACCTCTTTGTATTATTTGCCTGTAGTTTATTTGCAATAATTGCTTGATGGTATATGTAATCTTGTTTTTGGCCAGTAACCAAGAGCTCAGATATTTATGTGGATGCTGTTCGAATACATACAGTACTGTATGTTGCCATCAACGTAAGACTCTTCTTTTATGCCTGGACCATTTAAACGTAGAAAGCAAGGCACACAAATAGGAATCATGCCTTGCTTAAAGAAGCAATTTTCTCTATCTCAAAGAAATTAAAATTAAATTAATTAAATCTAAAATGCGAAAGATGCATTTTTTGTTTAGATTTATTGCCATCGTGTTAATTTTTACACCAGTTTATGTTTTAATAATTATTGAGGCAAGTAAAGGTTTGGCAATTGTAACCTTCCTCTAAAGGCCTGCTGCCATGAACTCTGTTAGACTATCTGAATCAGCTGTTTGAAATCTTGAGGTTTCTTTTGTTTTTGTTCAGTCCAAATGTATAACATTCTACAAAAGTAAGAATATAATCACACCTGATTTAAAAATCATGTAGACATAATCCAAATTACATTTTTACATGTTTTAAACAACTTAAGGTCCAATGTTTTCTCTGTGTGTTCTCTATTCTGTTGGGCATACTTTATTAATAAAGTGCTAAATTAGCAAATATTGTTCTTGTTCTATTATCATGCATTTTACACAATGAAAATACAAATTAAGACACATTTTATGTTGCATTTTTATTTAGTTTAAAAATCCAAAGTATCCATCCAATATACAGTATTTAGCATGGAATTTCAAAAACCTAAACAATTTCTTTTCCAGCACAAGTCGAGAGGTAGACCCCACCAACACATTAAAAGATTTTGAAGGAATAAAATAAAAAAAAAATGTTTTTTTGTCAAATTACCTATAAATTTAATATTTCTTGTGTTTTTAATTACAAAAAATAGAATAGCATTAACATATTTTTGTCTTTGCCAAATCACACTATTTTTGATCAGTGAAAAACATCATTGATCAGTTTAATTTGTAAAGTAATAATGTTCACCGGTGCTGCTGCTTTTGTAGCTCAGCCTCACACAATTCATAAAAAGAAAATTATACTTCCTTATTCTCCAGGGTATACACTTTGAGGAAAATAGGATAGGATAGGATAAGATAAGATAAGATAAGACAGGATAAGATAGGATAGAACTTTATTGATCCCACAATGGGGAAATTTGCACATTACAGCAACTCAAGACAGGGGAGCTGCAGTAACAGGCTGCCTACCGTGGCACCATCTTAAACAGAGAAAAAAATGCTAACAATAAAGAAAAGAAGTGCAGAAGCAGACAAATTAATACATTTAGCTTGGCCTCACATTGAAAGATTATCTTTCTGAAGCTGAAATGTAAAAAATAATTAAGAGCAATTAGCCATGTGGAGAGAAATAGAAAAAAAGTGTAGTAGTTTTCTCATTTACTAGTAAATAACTCCAGCAAGTGGGTTAGAGTCTTTAAACTAAAAAGCATTCACAATTCTGTCCTTTTGTCTTTTTTTCTTAACCCAACTTCACAAACAGCTTCTCGATACTTAAATAATTATTTTAGATGTAGAATTTGCAGTTCTTCCTATTGCCCGCCTCTGAGTATGTGTTAGTACACTCACTCTGCACACGAGTTGAGTAGAATTACAGACAGGAGAAAAGAGCTGACTGCTGTATACTGCTGTACTAACTGCTCAGTACTTTGTACAACAACGTTCTGAAAAGTTTATTTTAGGTAATTTAAAGCTAACTCTTGAAAAAGTTGTTTGCTTGTCTAGATATACACTTAGGCTCCAAAACTGAAAGTAAGCTAGAGTTAGGATTTACTCCCATTTATTAGGTCAGTTAGAGCTGAAGGGTATCAGTGTATAATGATACAATTAACTGTTATTATGGAGTGTCAGCTAGGGCTGCAGCTATCAAATATTTTAGTGATTGATTATTCCATCAATGAATCTGCTGATTAATGTAGAAATCAGCTATATGCGTTGCACGGAACGGTTCTACTGCCCTAGCAAACACTTCTTACCGCAATCAAATAAAACTTAACTTGAGTAGTCTTTATGCATAGTCACAATTAATGTACATTCATTAGAAGCATCCATCTCAAGTAGCAATCACACTAATTGCAATCAAAGAGATAAAAATGCTACCATGCGTTTGTACTACTTTGGACTGGACGCATAGACTTGGCACTATTTGTTGATATGGTACGTCATCATTGACGGTATGAATGTTGCAACAAAATAATTCACTTTCTACGTTACATTTATGTGATATAATCTTTTGTTGTTGTCACCTGGTTTGCCTTTTTTTTTGTAGGGATGGCTTTGGCAGAGTGGTTATTGAACTCATCCTGTTACCGGTGGGTTTTTGGTTCGATCCCCCATTGCATCGGTCTCAGTTGTGTCCTTGGACCAGACACTTCACCCACCTTGCCTACTGGTGGTGGTCAAAGGACCCAGTGGTGCCGGTGCATGGCAGCCCTGCTTCTGATATTGTGCCCCCAGGGCAGCTGTGGCTACAGTGTAGCTTACCACCAAGTTCTTTGAGTGTCCAAAAAAGCGCTAAATCCACAGTATTCCAGAATTCTTGCCACTACCCATATTTTTATACATTCTAAACATAAAATTCACTGGGTGCTAGTTTGTTTGTAACCATTAGAGTTGAACTGGAGGGTTTCATACAGCTGCAGCCATTTTAAATAAATGATAAACAAAAATAATAAACTGCCTCTATTAACTCTGTTAGCATATTTTTTATTATAACAAACTGGAGACTTGTATAGCCCCGTGAGCTAATCTCCCTATCTTTTAGTCCTGCCTTGTAGACAAAATATTTTAGCATGTATTTGAGATTGTTTAATAGTCCCAGTTTACTCAGATTTGAGACAGTTAAATTAAGCCATTACAGTAGTTTTACCAGCATGCAGCTATTAAACATGGGCTTGATATTTCTTTTAAACTGAGACATAGCTGCTAATGGCATGCTAACTATCAGGCTAACACTACAGCTAGTGCTAATGCTAACACCATCCATTGTAGGCTTTAATTTAGTAAAACCAAAATGTTTCTAAAGCRTTTTTCTATTTTCTTCAGTTGTGGCAGCCAACAACACAAGTTGAACCTGAATACGTGATTGAACTGGTCAAGCCGCCAGTTAAAGCAGCAACAAACTGGTATTGTTGTTATCAAGCAAAAAATGACTCTGAATGAATGAATCTCTGATTCTCGCTTTGCATATTGGAAATATGAAAACAGCGGGTGGAGATAGCGGTTGGTCATGGCAGCCTACGTATGCTTTTACAGAAACCTGTGGATAGAGTTCTATGTATTGATATTATTA